GGGTTGTAACCAAGGAGGCACAACAGGCTTTGTTGCTATTACAAAAACACTTGGAGCAAGCTCACACCCAACAAATTGATTATGATAAAGATCTTTTGTTTATTGTCATGACCTCCAAATTTGCTCCCACGGGGGTCTTTTGGTAGGATGCTCCTATCCTTTGGGTTCATTTACCGATCTCTCCATCCAGAATTGTTGTTGCTTATCATGAATTAATATTGCAACTTCTCTGGAAAGCTAGACATCTTAGTATTCAGACTTTTGGTAAGCAACCTGATAGTATTATTCTTCCATATACCAAAGACCAAGTAGCTCATCTCATAGAAGGATTAGATGAATGGAGCATATTTTCAGCCTCTACTACAGCATCATTTTCATCTCACTAACCACAGCATCAGTTACTGCAGTTCTTCAAACGACACCCAGTTATTTTTCCTCGCATAGTAAAACAATTTCCAATCTCTAAAGCCAAAACAGTTTTTACAGATGGCGCTCCGAATGGTAATGCTGTCTTAATCTATGATGGCCATGTTTTAACTCAAACTGTAGGAGCCGTCTCCGCACAGACAGCCGAGATCATTGCAGGTATATTGGCCTTACAAACCTTTCCTGATGAGCCTCTTAATCTTTATACTGATAGTGTTTATTTAGCTCAGATTTTTATCCCCTTGGAAACCGCTCCTCATATTTCCATAGTATCCTCTATACATCAATACTTATGTCAATTACAACATCTTATATGGTCTCGAAAAGCCACCATATTTGTAGGTCACATACGCAGTCATACCAATCTTCCCAGACCATTGGCTGAAGGCAATCAGATGGCTGACCTTCATACTCACAATCAGGTATTCACCACACAACTTCCCACGCCAGTCACCACAGCACAAGATCTACATGCTAAATTTCACCTACCTGCTTGCTCTCTTCGTCATCATACTTCTTGCACACAGGCTGCTGCCACACAGATTACCACTTCGTGTCAGGATTGTGCTCCTTTCCATAATCTTCCTGCTATAGGAGTTAACCCTCGAGGATTAAAACCGAACCATATATGGCAAATGGATGTCACTCATCTTCCTTCTGCAGGATCCCAGAAGTTTCTACATGTTTCTATAGATACCTATTCAGGAGTGATTTTTGCCTCCTTGCATGCAGGAGAACACACGATTCATGTTCAACAACATTGTCTTGCAGCCTTTGCTTACATGAGCTTCCCTATTCATATAAAAACTGATAATGATCCTGCATATACAAGTTCTAAATTTGCCACATTTTGTGCTTATTATAAAATCACTCACTCCACTGGCATACCTTATAACCCTCAAGGACAAGCCATTGTGGAACGTGCTAATCAACTCGTAAAACAATACTTTCAAAAAATAAAAATAGGGGAATATTGTCCTACGCCTACTGCACAACTGTCATCCATACTCTTTATTCTAAATTTTTTAATTGTGGATAAAACAGGACAAACAGCAATGGAACGCCATCATTTGTATAAACACCCTAAATTGGGGGACGTACGATGGAAAGATCCCCTCTCTGGGGAATGGAAACCTGCTACACCATTGTTAGCGTGGGTGAGGGGAGTTGTTTTTGTTTTTCCCCCAGGTGCTGATAAACCCATCTGGATTCCTGAAAGATATTGTCGAACGATCAACCCCCTGGAAGACCATGGAACATCTCAACAAAATAACAAAGGTGATGATCCTCATTCTTCTGAAACAGACATGGAGCTTACAGGGTAATGTAACTGTTTGGAGTCTAGTAAAAAATCCTCCCATATTAATAGCAGATTGGAAAGTTCATTATTTCCATCACTACATGTCACTAACTATATGTTAGGATGGCCCGCTAGCAATGTCTGAATTCAACAACAATCAATCAATACTACATTTTCCCTTGTAGCAAAATTTAACCAGAAATGGTGTACTCCCTGCTTCTTGCTGCTGATCAAGCAATATAAACTATAATCTACCTAAGGTGCTATTGTGGGGAGACTGTATCTTTAATGATGAAGAACTTCTCATAAGAGACAATAACACAACTCAGATGCGATGGTTTGGGCCAAAACCTTGCTTTAAAAACTCTACTAACAATAAGTGTAACTATTTTTATAGGGAACCTAACCAACTTGTTGCACCCATGTTTGCTAGAATCTATTATTGTGATCCTTTTACATGCCTTGATGCTACCCCTTTTGAAATCTTACACCTGTGTCCTCTCCCCCTTTTTCTTCGTATTATGGAATATAACTACTAACACAACTTTGGAAGAAGTTCTTAATTGTTCTTACAGTAATTGTGTCCCGAGCAACTGCTGGAATTCCTCCTTCACTTCTGCGCTGGTTGTGAGGATCCCTACACTTCTTCCTATGCCTGTGAATGTATCAGAAGATTGAGTAGAACTGACATTATACAGAAGCAAAAGAGATTTTGGAATAGCAGCAGCTATCATCACTAGCATAGCCATCGCCTCTACTGCTACCGTCGCTGCTGGCATCGCCTGTCTCAGACTGTGGTTACAGCTTCCACGGTTGATACCTTGTCAGGAAAAGTTAGTGAAGCCCTGCAAACTCAGAACTCAATCAATGCACACATACAATTTGGACTAATGAACTTAAATCAACAAACTGCCTTGTTACAAAAACAAGTTGATGCCCTTTGGGCTATGCAACAGCTAACATGTTCTTATTTCTTTCATCATATTTGTGTTACCCATTACCATGTACAAAATGCCTCCAATACTGTAAAACAATTGAATGCCTTTCTTAAGGGACCATGGAATGTGACCTTTGCAAATTTTACTAAGGTTCTTACTTGGCAAATTGTATCTATTAATGAAATCAGGGTCCCTGCCATATCAGCAGAAGGATGGTGGAATACCATGGTAGGAATTGGAGGATGGACACAGAGGTGGACAGGCTCCTTATCACTGACTGTCAATTTCATACTCATTATGATCTTTGTGTTTTTCAGTCTTGTGTAGAAAGCTCAGAGGAATTCAGTCCTGACAAACTGTTACCCAACAAGTCCTTTTAAGTTTTCACACAACCATACAGATGTCCCACAGGTGTGGCCTCAGATGCTGCACAAAAGACGAAGGTATTCTCAGTGATGGGCAACTTTCTGTGAGAGGGCTCCCACCTAAGACAGGGAAGAGGTCTCCCAGTGACGGGTAAGGGTGACCCCTCCAGAACGACCTAAGACAGAGTTACCTTCCTTAGGAAAAAAAAAAAAGGGGGGTGGTGAGATGCAGGGACATGGCGTCCTGACCTCCGCCTCCCCCTTGTAAGAGCTTGGGTATCGTTGGTATTTGCTGGAATTGTTTATCACAAGGACTTTCTCCTGATTCTGAGAAAAGGTGCACCTGACCCAAAAACTAGCCTTACAGTGAGGTGATCCCAATTATCATGTGTCCTGACTCCGCCTCCTATACTGAAAAGTATAAAAACCCTTGTCTCAAACAATAAAGTGGCAGTCGAAGTCCTTCCTCCCACTCCATGATGGTGTGATAGTTTGTTCAATCCTGACACCCTCTGCCCAGAATACTCAGAGCTTGATGTGCTGACGCGGCAAATACATACATAGCTACAGCTCTTGCTATCTGGGAGACTTGAGATGACTGTATAGCTCACAGCAAGAACAATGGCACTCAAAGTGCTCCTAAGCCTGTTCTGTTTCATCAGTGTTAAGCTTTGCCTCGGAAGTAGTGGAAAATTTTGATGGACTTGGAGGTTCTGTTTTCACCTTGCTTTGCTATAACTGATGATACATTACACACATTAATAATGTATAGTATTGTAAGAAAAATGTGATTTGTAAACTCTCCATTTTTCACTTACTATACTAAATATTGAGTAAATTTCTTGTCATGTCACTTCTTTTCAATTCAACTCTGAACATATAAAATGGGGAAGGAAGGGGAAGTTTTACATTCTCTAAGGACTTTACCAGCTTTAGGTCTATGACTTTGTTCTTTGATGGAACTGCTAAAAAACAAGATGAAAAACCAGTAATACACACTGCCTGGAACATCATTTCTTAAAGAAACACCACGTGTAAATATGGTATTTACATGCATATGTTCATCAGTTAATATAAGCAGTTGACTGTCTTTCCCTGGTCCTTTCAGAGCAACGCTGTGCAGTAGTGACATCTAGAGACTCCACCACAGGCCACTCAACAAAAATTGACATCCAGCTCTTAGTCTTCAAAATATTAGCGATTCACTTTGTGACCTAGCTAAATGCTTTAAAATTGTCCCTCACCTCTCCTCTATTTGTGTTTAAGACATGCCAATTAAATTTCAAAGTAGTGATAATCACTGGATAGATAAGAATTGAACTTTCCTTCAAAAAACGTATCGCATAGAGTTCTGTGTCGAGTACCAGCAAAACTCGCTCTGTGTTCTGTTGGAGTATCTTCCCTTCCCTGTGTCTCTTCCTTGTAAATGATACTCACTGCTTGAGACTCGTTCCAAATAGTTTCTTGCACGCCCACCACAAAGGCGATGTCATCTTTCCTTTCTGAAGTTTTGCTTCCTTCACCGTTGCTCTGCCTTTCCCTGCCCCTCTGCTTACCTTCCCTTGTTCTGTTTTATTTTCTTTCTTTTCTCTATTGACCTCAAAGAAACTGGGGTTCCTCAGAATTCCCATTCTTATCCGCACATCGCGAGAAAGCTACTGTTCTCCTGTAGTTCCAGTTATGACTAATGTGCTGGTGAGAAGCTCTTTGGAGTATCTCTACAAACTTACCGAGTGTTTCTTCTTTTTTTTTTTTTTTTTACAAGCGTCTTAAGTCGGTATAGACACAACTGAACTCAAGAACCTTTCTCCAACAAATGCACTCCTTCTTCAGAGAATTTTCTATTGTACCAAGGCTAACATCTGGCAAGGTGCTCATTAGACACTGAGAAGGCATTCATTCTCCCATCTCTTACCTGCCAACATTTAGCAAGTCACCATGTAATGTTAATACAAACTAAGAATATATATATGTATATATGTATATATATATTCATGTATGTGTGTGAGTGTTGGCTATGTAGACCAGGCTGGCCTCAATCTCACAGAGATCTGCCTGCTTCTGCCTCCAGAATGCTGGGATTAAAGGCATGGACCACCATGCCTGGCAAGCTAAGAATATTTTAATATGTTGCCCATTTTTAGCAAAACTGCCACAACTCCAGCTCAGGCTATAAGTATCTTTTTTCTTCAATATTGTAGTGACTTTCTTTGCCTTTATTGTTATTATTCCTCAATGTAACTGTCACAATAATCATTGCTTTCAATGGTTGCATATGAAAACTCCCTGCTTAGCATTCATTAATGGTTTCCCATAATGAAAAAAATCACAAACTCCTTAAACTTGCTTTACTAAAAGCCTAAATCTTGTCTCTAACAAGTGTCTCATTTATCACCAAATCTCATTTCTTCAAATTTTTCACACCTCCAAAAGTTATTCATTCTCGGCACTGTCTTACCATACCAAGACTTCAACTTCTGCCCAGCTGATTCTTCATCAGTTTGGAAGGCATTTCCTTCCCTTAATGTACCTCCTTATCATAACATTCACTTTCCCATTCTGAAAAGAACGCTTACAGAAACAGAAATCCAATGTGAGAGGAGAAAATAAGAGTACAGTAAAAAAATGTAAAGGGCTATTCAACTCATTACATCACTATTAGCAGGAATACAGAACCCTATTACTGCTCCTAATTCTATAAAGCTATAAGATTTCTAGAGTTCATCTTCCGTCTTCTGTTTACCATTTAGGAGGTAGACTTAACAAGCCCAAATTGATAAAAATTACAAACGCAAAGAAAAATAAGCCAAAATTGGTAAGTGTATATTAAATTGCTGGAGACAAACAGAAGCACCAGCCTGTGAAAGTCTAGAATCCAAATGAATGGGCCAGTTTGTAAAATTAGGCCATGATGTTTTCAATGTTGTTCGGAGGATTGTAGCACAAAACAGTAACATTGTAAATCACTTCTCCTGAAACTGAAAAATGATCATCTGATTCAAATACCGAGTTACTAACTGACCTGCCAATATTGCCCACTATTTAAGATGAATGTTTCCCATTTCAAACATGACTTAAAAGTTATTTTTGAGAGCTTCATACATGTGTGCAATGTATTTTGATTCTTTCCACCCCCACTCCTCCCTCATTCTAGTCCTCCTGGTGGCGTCTCCCACCCACGCTGCTCTCCCAGCTTCATGGCCTCTTTTTTTTGGTCTTTTTGAGACAGGGTCTCCCTGTAGCCCGAGCTGGCCTGGAACTCGCTATTGAGACCAGGCTGGCCTTAAACTCACAGAGATCGGCCTGCTTCTGCCTCTCGAGTGCTGGGACTAAAGGTGTGCGCCACCACACCCAGCTCGTGTCCTCTTTTTGTTTTTTTAAAAAAATAATCCACTGAGAGGCTGAAGGGAAGGTTCAGCGGTTAAACGCCCTGGCTGCTTTGGCAGAAGACCCAGATTCAAATCCCAGCACCCACATGGCAACTAACAGCCATCTGTAACTCCAGTTCCAGGAGATCCAAGACCCTGTTCTGTTATCTGCAGGTATTACTGAGTCCAATTAGTACTGAACTTATGCAGGTGGGTAGAAGGCCATCTACTGAAGCATGGGCAACCTACAAGGGGCAATGGCCCTGAGGAAAACCGACTCTCCCTAAGCAGCCAACAACTATCAGCAGCCCCTCGGCTAGGGGTGGGGCCTCCTGAGCCCCTCCCCAATACTTGCTGGATTGGCTTGATCTTATGCAGGTCTTATGCAGGCAAGCACAACTCTTGTGAGTTCATGAGTCCAACAGCCCTGCCCTTAACAGAAGGCACTGTTTCAAAGCAGTCCTCTCTGTCATTTGACTCTTGTAATATTTCTGCCCACTTTTCTGAGATGTTCTTTGAGCCTTGTGGGGAGATAGAAGTGCTATTTAGGGCTGAGCACTCTACAGTCATTTATGCTCTGCACTTTGAATGACTGTGCACTCTGAATTAACCTCTGCCCACTGCAAGAAGCTTCTATGACAAGGGATGAGAGCAGCACTGATCTATGCATGGAAGGTAAGTGTTCAGAAAGGGTCAAATGACTATTTTACAACTTCTCCTTCCATGAAATATATTACCCAAATGGTCCTTCTCATCCTCACTGATCTGACCTCACAGTTCATTGGAGATGAAAGACAGAGGGAAAAGAGAGAGACGGAGCGAGAGTAAGACCAAGAGTGAGAGAACAAACTACTATCAGGCAGAAACACTCACAGTCTGAGCCTGAAATCTATCCACCTATCTGTTGCTAACCATATCACTGCCTTTCTTCTTAGAGATGGTATGTCCATGCTCCCATTCAAAGCCCATATTGCTACATCTCCCTGCATCACAGCCCCTCGTTTTCTCACTGACCACGCTCCCTTAGTAAGCATTCTCTTTTAATCCATTTCTTTTTCACTCTATTATTCACATTAATCTAAAAAGAATCTTTAATATCCTCAGTAACTAAAACCATGCTTTGACCCTAATTTCCCCTAACCCCTCTATTCTTTCCATTTTCAGCTCTCCATTGGAAAAAGTCTTAAGACATCATGGGTCCATGTCCTTTCTCATTCCTCCCTTTTCTCTCTCCCCTTTTCCCTGTCCATCTCCCTCCCTCTCTTTTTCTTGCTTTTCTTTCCCTTTTGAGATAGAATCTCACTATGCAGATTGAAGACCTTTCTGCCTCAGGCTTTCAGGTACAAGGTTGCAGGCCCATGCCACTGGGCCCTGCTCAGGCTATTTCTTTATACCTTTCCTCTTCACTGTACTTGTCAAAGCACCTAACAACTATACCTTCCAAATTCTAATACACATAAAACAAACCTTTATTTTACATGACCTTTTAGCATAATTCAGTGCCATGAACCAGTTTTGTGGTATTAGCTTTCCCATCACCACACTCTTTTTCCTAGTTAGCTGGCTATTCTTCCATTTGTTTTACTTTTTTTTTTAAATTTACTTTTGAAGTACTGGGGATTGCATTCAGAGTCTCATGTATACGAGGCAAGTACTCTATTACTAAACTATACTCATGGCCCTGCTTTGCTTATTTGTTTTCCAATAATCATATTATAGGAATGTTCTCTATGAGC